CCCCAGCATACGAAATTTTCAGGATACGACATGAAATTCGAACATATTTTTGCTCCACGATACGAACAAAAACTCACCATACGACGTTACATTAGTTCGCATTTTTCATTTGTTTTTCTTACTACAGTTATTTTTTTTAAATGTATTACTTGGCTTTAATTTGAGTATGTTTTTCGCGTTGGAACGAATTATTTGGTTTTACATGTAATCATATGGGAAAAGATGATCCACCTTACGAAATTTTCATGATACGATCTCAGTTTCGGAACGGATTAATTTTGTATACTGAGGTACCACTGTACTGTAATTGCAAGAGTAAGGATGGAAATTTATGTACATTCACATTATGTTGGACTTTTACTAAATAAAACACACAGAAGATAAAATATTTCAACAATTGCACAAAATGACATAGATCAAGTTAATTATGCCTAATTTTAATGCATTTAAAAAAAGCCATACGCATTAACAGAAGGATAAGAAATTATTGTATACTTTCAATAACTTTGGTTTTTGTTAATCGACAGCTTACAAACTCAATTTAGATTATTATTATTAGAATAAAATTAAAAGTTACATCAAATATAAAATAAAAAATTCAAAAAACTTAAAAAATTAATAATGTTTGCATATTTAAAATCAAGAAAGCTTATTAATTGTTATTAAAATAAAGCTATTATTACAATAAAAGTGATGATTTTAATGGAACATTACTTTTTGTATCACTTACCTGATTTATTACATTTATAAACTTAAAGCATATACTGGTAGAACAATTATAAGAAAATTCCAATAAGTCATGTCTTTGTTTAAGTGTTAAAAATTCTTTGTTAACAGGATGAATTTTTATAGCCATAGTTAAAATAAAATGCCATATATCTAAAATAATATCTTGTATCTCTTCTTCTTCATTTTTATTAATTAAACACATAACTAGATCGCTCCATATTTCTAATAATTCATAAAAAATATCTTGCTGTATTTCTAAAAAAATTTAAATTCATTAAATCAATAATATATTTACTTTTTATTGAAAAATTATAAATTAAAATATTAGCAATATACTGTAGTTGCAATTTAAATTACAAAAATGAAATGAAATAAATATCCTCTATCATATAATATTTGATTTCTAACTTTATAAAAATGTTTAAGTAAAATATTCATTTTAAATCAATAATAAAATTACAGTTTTCTTTGATTTTTTGTTTTGAGTTATTTTAATAATTATAATTGTAATTTATATATTAAATTAAATATTTATTCAAATTAAAAGTTAAATATTAATATTTAGCTTTTAATCTGAACAAATTGTATTTTAGATTTAATTATCTTCAAAAATGATATGATTGACTGTTAGTGTTTTCAGAATTCAATAAAATATAACTGAATGAATATAAATTACTCATAATAACATTACATTAAAATTGTATAATAAAAAAACTGGGTTCAGTTGCTAATCAATCACAGTTTTCTTTATGGAAAAAAATATATATAAATCTGCCTTTTCAGACATATCCTAAATTACCATGTTATAAATGTAAAAGATATTATAAAATAATTCTTTATTACGATTATTTTTCTGTTTTTTTTTATGTATGAAAAATTAATCAGTTTATTTATCAAGTTTTTGATAATATGAAAATAAAGATTTTAAATTTATCAAAGAAATGAAAATTCATTTGTCTTAAGTATAAAATATGACATTTATTTTATTATTAGAAACATTTTGATATATTAATATCCAAATAATCCATATGCAAATATTCAGACCAATATTTTTATACATGCTATCTACTTATCAAGAATTTGATTAGTTAAAGTATCAAAACCAGATAAATTATATAAAAATTAAGTATATAACTATGATAAATTGTTCACTTCTTATCACTTCTATCTGTATGTATCTATTTAGGAGTGTATTTAAAAGTGTTATATTTAGAAAAAAGTAATTAACATACTTTTTAAATTTTTTTTTATCTATTTTTCAAAACTGAATAGTATTGATAGATGCAATAATATACTGTATTAGGATTGCCAACCATCTTCCATTTTGGAGAACAGTTCTCCATTGAAGTATATTCTCCTCCCATCCTCCTTTTATAATAATGTCTTTCTTTTAGTACAGCTTTTATTGTTTTTGTTTAATTTTACTTTACCATCTCTGAAATATTGCTTGCAAACAGTGTTTCAGTATTTTATTTTCTTATTCTAAAGTAATAGTTTCATCTTCATCACTTGCTAGAGTAACAGGGGGAGACACTACTATTAATCTGATTTGGTTAAGCAAATAGAATTTAGGAAGTCAATTAGGGTTGCATTGTTCAACAGCTGGTAATAATTCTGACAATGAGTTTAAAACCCTATTTACTGTCTATTTAATATATTATAATTTATAGTTAGTCAACAAATATTTATAATTACTTTGTTGTAAATGTCCTCCTTTTTGTACAAGAAAGTTAGCAATCCTATATTGTACATAATTATTATAAAGTATTAACTTAGTATAAGTCATACATTACAAAGAAGTTATAATTATACCATTTATCCTTTCATCAGAAATTTCATAATCTTCACTTTTAAAATTCAAACTGATATTTGATTTATAAGAACAAATATCTCTCACAATTTCTAACAAACTATAATTATTAGCTTTCATACAGAAAATATGTTCTTTTAGTTGTTTAAATATGAAGTCCTTAAGATATTTTGATTTTTCAGAGGAAAATTGAAAGAGAATATCTATTAATAACTGTTTGATACTATATATGACATGTTTGTTAGGATGTGTAATCATTATATTTATCTGAAATGAAACAAATATAAAAAGTCATTAAAACTGAAATAAAAAATTGATTTAAAGTGTAAATTTGAGTAATCATACCAATTTTGTAGTAATATCTTCATTTAATAATTCTCTATATAAAAATTCATCTTTCATTCTTCTGTCTAGCTTTATAAACATTAAATGAAGAGTATTTACACTTAAAAGAAGAATATTTAATTCATTTGATGAAATAGTCTTCTTAAATCCTAAATAATAAAATAATCAATAGAAATTATCACACATACAATATGCATTTTACATAAGTCAAAGCTGAATAATATAATACAGTAAATTTAAATGTATTATTAATTATTACATATAATTTTACAAAATACTTTGAAACTAATATTTTTATATAATTAAAAGTTCTGAAGGAAACTTCTCAAATGTAAATCCAACTCAAATTGCTTTTCTCAAAACAAAAACTTGAGCTTTTTATTAAATTAAAAAAAAAATTCTTATCTCATAAAAGCAAATTGAATTTAATATGTGCATTTTACTAATATACAGAGTGTCCCTTAAGTCTGGACTCATAGGTGTTTCTCATATTACCATTTCTTTCAGTATAGAGAACAAATTCAAGTGATTTTGATGTTGGGAATCTGCAGTCACTGAGAAGTGGCCAGAGAATTCAATAGGTTCCATTCAGACTGCAGGCCAATCATGTACAGATGTGTTATTAAGCTATGCAAAATTTAAGGAAATTGTTACAAAATGCAGTGGATGTGGTCTTGGAGATTGCAATCTCACTTGACATGCAACAAAGGGACTTCTGTGGCCACTTCTCTGTGATTGTAGGTCACCATCATCAAAATCACTTGAATTTGTTCTTCTGTATTTAGTGACATGGTTTCCCTGTAATGAAAGAAATGATAATATGAGAAACTTGTATAGGTCCAGACTTACAGGACACCCTGTATATTTAGTTTAATTTTTTTTTAAAAATCAAAAGTAAAGATATGTTTTATGTTGACAAAATCTATTATTTAATTTAACTTTTAGTACTATTAACTTTAATTTAAATTTTACAGATTAAATGTTTGTTGTAATATTGAGAATGTAGTACTTCAAATTTTTTATTTCACTGAAAACAGACTGTAGATAGAATTTTGTTACTTTTCATTAGACAAAGTAAATAAAATTAAAAAAAAAAATCTTTTTAATTTTGAATATGTAAGATAAAAATCTCACATTTCTTCATTCATATATAATACAAGTGTAAAAATCTTTTACTTAGAATAATATACACTCCTCAAAAGTGAAATTATGATTCAATGAAGGAATGTGCAATAGACATGCAAATTGCAGGACTGGTAGATGTGATAAAGATATGTAAGTGATTAAGTTTGCATATGCATTGTGGAAATGAGACTGTATTCTAGAGCTGCATAACCTTGGTTTGTTGACGCATACAGTTGCCATGTATGATTGGCACAACATGAGTACTATCCAGTGATATGTGACACGATGGATGCAGGAACACACCAAAGAGGGAGTGGATCACACCAGTGCTTGGCAGAGCACATAGACTGGCAAATTTGCCAAATGGTCTGTTGGGACCCATTTGTCATTGTCATTGCAACTGGATCACTGAATGGCATTGGGTATTGTTTACAGATGAATCCTGCTTCTGTCTTTGGAGGAATGACAGCCTGGATGAGCTTGGCAGTAACCCAAAGAATTCTATGTGCCAGTTCTTTTTGTGGAGCATCACACTGGCCATCGTGTTTTATCAGTGGACAGCCCTGGTGCATATTTTAGGTATTCTGACAGCAGATCAGTACATCACACAAATTGTGGGGCCTGTGATTCAGCTACTAGTGCACCCAATACAGAGTTCCAGCAAGATAATGTCCAACTGCATGTCACATGGTGAATTTACATCCTTCCCCTGGCTGGCAGCCTTGCCAAATCTCTCTCCCATCAAACATCTGTGGGACCTGATCTGATGTGAGGTGCACTAGGGACCACAGCCACATACTGTAGATGACATGTGCACCGGAGTGAACACAGCTTAGCAAGGCAGGCAATCATTAATTGTTTGATTGATAATATGCCTCGCTTTACAGCTACTTGTAGGGGCTATATTAGTTACTGAATAAATAAATAGGTGTCTGTTGCATATCTTTGTTCTTTTAATCATTTGCATATGTCTGTCACCTCTACTGGTCCTGCAGTGTGCATGTGGCTATGTGCATTCCTTCACAGTGTTGTGATTTCACTTTTGAGAAGTGTATATAATTATTTAACTCATAATGAGATTATATCTAAGATATTTCTAATTTTGACTTTATAAGAAAGAATATTCTTCTATATTCTTTTGATTAGTTACATTTCAAAATATACTTTTTACTATAAAATTAATGTTATTAATCTTTATAGATTATTTCATATCAATATTAGAGAGGTTGTGGCTGACGTTTTCATCGTGGAAACGTGTACGTCATATGTTCAGCACCACCTTCTTGTAAGCCTAGAAGTTTGACACTGGCATTTGGAATTTCAGTGGAATTATGCTTGACGTTCCAAATGCCATTGTCAAATTTCTAGGCTTACAGGAAGGTGGTGCTGAACATATGACGTACACATTTTTGTGATGAAAATGTCGGCTGCAACCTCTCTATTAATTAATCAGACATTCCTAATCAATTATTTAAAATTTCTCCTATATTGTTTTATTAATATTTATGTATATTTAATTTCCAATTATTATGGATTTTTGTTTCCCATTTATAACATCTTTATCAATATCAATACTATTTTGCATCAAAATATTTTAAATTATAAATTAGATAAAAGTTATTATCATATCTTAAAGTACAAAAAGCAAATTTTTTTATGTAGCAAATGCTTTGTTTAGAAATTTCATGATAAAGTCTTAGTTAAACATTTAGGAATTTGAGTAATTTGAAAAAATAATTTGGTTTGATCTTTTTATAATTTAATAATTTGTAATGAAACTTTTATTAAGCTTTGTAAGTGAACTTGTAATAAAATTTTAAAATTGTATTAAAGAAAATATAATTAAATTAATTTAAAAATGTAATTTAAATAATTCAAAATAATTATAATTTTAAAATAATTATTTTTGTTTAAAAGTTTAATTAATAATACTAATAACTATGATAATCACATTAAAAAAACTGTATATATATATATACAATCATGCCAAATTAGTACAAACAATACAAAAAAACAGCAATAAAAATTAAAACAGTTGCTTTAGCTTGTGAATTTTTAAAATGTTTACTTAAAAATTCTATATTAAATAGACAAGTCACTATTTAGTAATAATATCTGATATCTAAACTTTACCAATTTCAAGTGATTGTATAATAACAGCTGATGAATCACATCTAATAAAATGGTTTTCTTCAACTTGTTTGTAAATACGAATTAAGTCTTCAAATACAGTATCTGAAAATAAATTTATATTTTAAAATTATTTATTTATCATTTCATATGGTGTTTAAAACAAAATTGGAAGTAGTTTAATTTAAAAAGTTATCTATGAATAATTTTTAATTGATAAATTTATTAAAAATTATTTTTAACTTTTTTATTTAATATTATCTATCTCTTAATTCCATACTGTGTACTGTATAACAATAAAGAAATAAAATTTATATTTATTATTATTATGCTGGGTTTAGTGAGTTATACTCTGTTAACACTGGTGGCTGTGTACTGTACTATGCCAGACCAAAGTCAAGGCATAGTAACCAAAACAAAACAAAGATTAAATAAGTGTGTCAGTGTGTGTGTCTGTATTCAGGAATTTAGGAAATTCCTGAATACAGACACTCATCTCATCTCGTAGTGCCGTATCAGGTTTTCCCGACCTCGGCCACACCAGGCGCAGATTAGTAAGTAGTTAGTAAATATGCCAAGGCGTTACTAGGGAAAGTTAGTACCCAGAGTGGTTTCCCGTTGCCTTCTCTGGGGTGCAATGTTACGCGAGGGGAACTAATGCCTTCCGGGAGGACTTTTATGGGGAACTGGCCTCCTATTTAGTCGTTATTGGCAAGGAGAAAACCCAGAAAACTCCAAGCAGCCAGCCTGTCCGATCGCGGCGCAAACCCACGACCGAACTCCCAGTGTTTAGGGTACGAAGACCACTCTGCCACTGGTGGGCACGAATACAGACACACCTTCCTTTAATATGACATGTATTCAATATAGTGACCTTCTGTAGTGTGATGTATGTGTTTCTATTTAATTGTAATGTTCCCAGGCTTTTATGTAGTTTGTTTGGTATGACACCTGTAGAGGAGAGAACAACAGATATAATAAGCACCCTATCCATCCTCCACAGATGCCTTATTTATTATTATTATTATTATTATTATATTTGATTAATTACATATAAATAGGATTAATGGGATAAAGCAATGCAACTTGTGGAGCAATCTTTCAAAGAGATACCTTTCAGAAGGTTTTTCTCTGGTAAACTGGCATTTGAAGCTAGAACTACTTAAAATGACTAAGACAAAACTTTTTAAGTAGTTCTAGCTTCAAATGCATAGAAGTGTAAACATGGCATCATCAGCCCAGCCAAGTTGTAAACTGGCACTTATTTAAGTGTTAGACACATGAAGAAAACTTGGAAAACTACATTGTAGCCAGCCCTTTGATTGGGCACAAACCTGTGACTAACTACCAGTGTTCAGAACTATTCACTGGTGGGCTATGTTAAATATCTTTAACTATACAGAAAATAATTTTATTGTTAATAAAATTTTAAATTAAATTTGTTTTTATTGTTATTAAAAACCTAAAGGTTATTAGATTATAAATTTTATCTTGTGTCTGAAGAGTTAAAAGATGGTCTTTTCATCCCTGTAAAATACTTTAACATAAGGATCCATTGTAAATTATATGATAAGATATTATTCATTAAAATTGTTTTGTGTAATAAATGAAGATAAAGAATTTTAGATATTCAATAAACAAAGACTGCTTGATTAAAGTTACAAAAATTATTTATTCTCAATATGTTTAGCTTCATGTTCTGCTTGTATGTACTGTAAATTGAATGTAGTAAGTGACAAATATAAACATCCATAAACCTAATGTTTAAATTAATGCCAAATGATTGCTGGATTACATCAGGCTATATGAAGTATTAATGCTACTAATGTAATACCCGACATAATCCAGCAATTGTTTTGTAGCAAGTGACATTTACTCTACTATCATTCAAAAACAATGGAAATAAATAACTGGTAACCTTAAGCAGTTTTTACTGAACATTATGTTGCCAAATTTCAATTTTTCATGAATTTTTATGATGTATTGTAGATCAAATTAAAATGAATAAAATCAATTTCTCCAGACAGGTTTAAATGAAAAAATCTCAATATTAGATTTTTCATAATAGAAAAAATACAATTAAAATTAATTAGCAGCATTAAGAAGCATTAATTAAAATGTAATTATGATCTTTAAATATACATTTTTAAATATATTTTGCATTTGAAAAATACAAGAATTTTTTTCTTGTATTTTTTGAACTTTGAAAAATCACAGTTGAAATACAAGAATATTTTATGATTAAACACTTCATACAGTTGAAATTTCAGCAACATATTAAACCCCCCATACAAAGAATGCTCATTCTAGCAACGACATTACATCACATTAAATAATTGATAGAATTTAGTGTTTATTATTACTTTAAGGTAATAAAATTTGTAATTTTTTTATTATCCTAAAATTGATAAACAGTAAAGTTTTCTGTAGTTAATAATTAAATATTCATAGTAATTTATGTAATTTACATTGAATTGCAATTTGTGATAAGCAATAAAAAAATGAAATAATTTCTGTTCACAGGACTAAACAAATACATTTTATTGATTAAGTAATTTTCTACAAAGTAACGACAAAACTCTGCAGATTATGTCCTCGAAGTACGATCACAAGAATGTCTCAAATCTCTTTTAATTTAATTAAGAGAATATCTCAACAAATCCAAAGGAAAATTGATTAAGTGTAGATCCAAGCACGGCCTTCACAAAATCCAACCTTAGACAATTTTGCAGCCATTTAGAACATTTCTCGATTTTGCCTTGCAGTAAGTCATTAAAGCAGTCCCCGATATTCTAAGAACAGGTTATCGGGAAATGTTTTAACAACATCCAACTAACAACATGAAACAACTGCAGGATATAAAAAAAAGTTAAAATTTGTGTAGAGAATGGAGATAGCATGGAGATTTTTATTTAGTAAACAATGGGATTTTATAGTCACAGTGCTTTTTGTGTCTGTAAAAACTGAATGTTTAATATTTTAAATATGAAGTTTAATAAGTGATATTATAATTTACAACGCCCTAATTAATATTGATAACGTTTTATGTAATTTTATTATTTTTTCCTCTTTTGATTGCGATAAACAAGAAAAACTGGAAATACAAGGTTATAATATCGTATTTAATATATCAAAATAATAAATTACAATAACAACAATTAATGTTAAATTATAAAAATTCAACATTAATATAAACATATTCGTCGGAAATCTTATAAGTTCGCGTATCATAGAGAATAATCACGGACTAATAAGTCTTCCACTTTTTTTAACCACGAAAAAAACATTAATATCTATGAAAATATTAATATTTATCGAATATCAAAATTTAATCTTAAATGAAATTAAATTATCTAAATTTTGTTAAAAGTATACTTAAATTAACCGATTAAAAGTTAAAACGAAAAAACGGGTAAAGTTCGAAACTAACTTGATATCTCCGACATTACGTCGAGAGTGGAGTCCGTCGACCGACGTTCAGTTCTCGTAAAACATCCGTGACTGTCATCGATGTGTATGAAATGTGAGCGAATTTTATATATATTTCGACAATTTTAAAGGAGATTTAGAAACATTTTTATCTTATTATCCTTTGTTAACAGGTTTCAGTTGCTAAATTCTAGTTGTACTAGCGATATTTCACAATCGTCAGAATATATAAGTTTCAGAAGCACGGTTCCACTTAGAAAGGTAAACATGTAATATATTAATTTACGGTAGAAGTTACCTTTAGTCAAATGGTACGATACACGCGTATAAGCATGTAACTTTAAAAGTAACTCCTATAGATAAGAGTGTATTTTTAAGGACGATTGAATTAATATAACCTATATTTTCTGGCGTAAAGTACAATAATACTTGGAAAATATGGGTTTTAATTAAACGTTGGATGAAATATATGCATATGTTTATTTAATTTGTCACATGATATTGATTTCTCAAGTTTTAAAGGATGTGTGAAATCAGTGTTTTGATATGATTCCCTCTGTACTTACATACTTTTTAATAATTAAAATATATATTAAATATGCATGATTTTTTTTCAGGAACTTGATTATGACTGTTATGTTCAGTTAAAACAAAAATATAATGAATAACGATACATTATAAACCTACAAGCCAACCAATGCTGTGTGTCGTTGGGCTAGATGACGATTATAGCCGTCTCGTAGCCCGATGACATACGACATTGGTTGGTTTGTAGTTTTAAAAATATAATGTGTTAAAATTTATGTTTTTGTTGTTTTTTCCCTTTTTGATTTTTAATATGATAAAATCAGAACAATATATACACTTATTATAAATTATACTGCTTGTTTCCAGGGCTATTGAGAGGGGGAAAATGAGGATATTTTCTCAAGTGGTTCCTACATCTATAAATTGTTATTTTTACCAACAAAAAATAAAATAAATTTAAGACCATCTCTTAATTAATTAATTAATAAAAAACAATCTAAATATTAAATTTGTTAAAATATATATATATATATATANAAAAATATTTTATCTGCAGTGAATTAGAGGAGATATTTAAGAATAAAACAATAACATATTCTAATTAAGGATGTGAAAAATTGGCTTAGAACTAATATATATATAAAGAAGCAAATAGGTTAAAAAAATCAATGGAAAACTCTACTGTTTAGCAACTAGACTAGTATGGAAACAAAATAGTTAAAAAAGCTGAGAAATAAAATATTTAAGACAATCTAGGAGTGTATAAACTAGAAATAATTCAAAAAGACAGGTAAAAATCTTACTCTATTAGATCCATATACTGAAATTTAATCGTAGAGTAAAGAACTATAAAGAATTCATGTTAAAACAAGTCTAAGGAATATCCCTTCCAAGTCCTGGAACAAAAGTGGCTCTTCCTGTTTGTCTATTCTTATCTACTTACTTTATGCTTTCTGCTTTCTCCTTGCATGCTTTCTGCAATTCTCCTTGTGTTCTTTCATGAGACATAGTTCACTGCCACAACAAAGTTATAAGAATAAGAATTTGGATAATGTTGAATTGTTATATAAAAATCATTAAGATTTAAGTGTTACAGATAATATGGAATAATTCAAAGGTCTTCCTCAAATGATTCAGGTAAAGAACTCATTTTATTATCTAGTAAAGTGATTTTTTGAGCTAAAAACAGAATGAATTTCATGTTTGCCTATTTCAGGTATAGTATTGACTCCAATAACACCCCTCAATTGTCTTACATTACTTTGCTGGACATTGGAGCAGGATACATTTCAGGATATACAGAATACTACGAAAACTGACAATTGTAAATTCAAATTGTTTTGATTCATCTCAGTCTAACTGATGCCCGACAGATGATGTTTATCAGCAGTGTATCCTCTGCTGAAACACATTTCTTGAACAATATTTCACTGATGAATGATTTTTTTGCATAAGATCTGATCACTGTATGAATGCTTCATACATTTTTTTTTTGCATGACTGGATAGCTTTGATATCTCCATTACTGGAGATATCAAAGCTATCCAGTCATGATATTATAAGTTATCCAGATTTGATATTCAGGAGATATCAAAGCTGTTTTGCCAGAAGCATTATCTTAAACATTGCAATAATGAGATGAATTTTCTCATTTGTCCTTATAGTATTTACATGAAAGATCTTTTTAGTGTGTGCATTATTCTTGTAAGCTTTAATAATATACTTCCAGGCCGATGGAAGGCCTTCTGCATCCCTCACATTAATACAAGTCTTCTCTAATTTGCTCTTATAAATCTCTATTTTCTCAGCGGTCTTCGCTAATATTGGGGATCTCACTGGCTTGATAATGTCTGCATCATCCCATTTAACTACCGAACTTTGTGCCTGAGCCATCTGGGATAGTATCATCGCATTTGAACTTTTTTTTGATGTTATTCTTGTGCTCCTTTAGCCTTACACTCAAATTCCTTGTTGTAACATCGATATAATCTTTCTTAATCCCCACCTGCGGGTTTCATATGGTATCCTATACACACCTACTTTTTCTCCCTTCCTAATGCTATCCTTGTCATTTCTTAAAATTTTATATAGGTTAGGGACTCTTTTTAGAATAATTGTTGATCCTTTGTGGTCTACAATTTCTTTCATAATGCCTTTGGCATATCTGTTATAAGTGAATTTTGTGATTTTACCGGAACCTTGTATTGAGCCCATTTTTATGCTCTTCTCGCATCTTCTAACAATTCCTGTTGTTGTGCCTTTATTGTACTCTAAGGCTTCAGCAACTTGTAGATTCTGTCAATTTCCTTTGCTCTGTCCATAACGTTGTCACAATATAGAAAGGCCCTTCTGATTAGAGCCCAGAATGCTGCCATCTTGTAACAATAAGGATCATTTGATTGCAAGGGTGTAAGGAACCAAGTCTGAGCTTTATTTTTATTTTACGAGGTGTTATTCCTCTAAAGCTAAATTCAAAGTCAACGAAAGAAAGCAATAAGGTCTAATATTAATCTTAGAGTCCCTGTTCGGGCGCCAGTTGTAAAGTACTATATTATTTTTTCCGACTTTCCAACGATTATCGACACTACTGTGTGCCGGAAATAGCCGTTCCCTAACGGGTACTTTACGCGGATTCGCGTTAGTGTGCCAGGCCTGGACTTTAAGCGTGCACCGAATTAAATAATGACAAAGTTTGTCAATAACAAAATCAAATATTTAATTAAACTTCTATTAATAAACTCTATACAGTATTTAGTAAAAATCAAACAATAATTTATTCAATGAAACTCAACAAGAATCAATCCGACAAACTCAAATCAATCTATTTCTAACTTAATTCTATTCCCCTTTGGAATTCGACAAAATCAAAGAATTAACTTATAAACAATAATTCTTATAAATTAAAGATCCTAATCGTCACCTCAATATACTAGGAACCTATTTCCTCAAACTCTCAAGACTTTCTATAATCGTCGATCCACAAATCGAATAACTTCAAAATCCTATCGGACACCTCTCTCGTTCACTGCTACGAAGCTCACCAAAGCTCGTTGCTATCAGGAATTCACCTCGTTCGTTTTCACTTGAGTTAGAGGCTTTATAGTGTGAGGTGACGTCACAATTCTGAATGAGCTCACTCTCCTCATTTACATACTTATCTGTAACATTAAATTTTTCTTGTTTATCTGGCAGATTATTTTCCGACAATACTTCGCTAACCTTTTACATTATTCTTTTTAACAATTATCGGGATGCTTTATTCTTTTAAGGTTTAGCGATTCCTAACTGGGTTGTGGGGTCTTCCCCCCCCTTTTTCTCGGTGCGGACTTACTTTTTTCCGCTTGGGAAGCGCAAGTGTGCGCGAGTTTTTCTACGGCGCTTTTCTTTCGTCGGTGAGTTGGTTTTTCTTCTATTTTTAAGTTACTAAGGTGAATGGTGAGGAAACCTTTGTCTTAACTAAACATAAGCCCCAAACAAAATATAATGAAAGCAAAATAAAAGTAAAATAAAAATAAAGCTCAGACTTGGTTCCTTACAAGGGGATATAAAGCAGACTGTGCGTTGGTTTAACGTAACCACTGGTAGATAAATATCTTTTTCTGAATTGGATGCTGATGTACAAAAAATGTATTATTATGGAACTTTTCTGTTCTAATTTCAGTTTTAGACCGTCGTTGTTATGATTAATTAATGCTTTCAATAAATTCATTTATCTTACGGCTATTATTCCATAATATAAAGATGTCATCCACATATCTTTTAAAATATAGTATATCATATAAAACTATACATATAAAAGTATATAAGTTTTATAGTTTTATATAAAACTATAAAACTTACGGAAGTCATATAAAACTCTTTTCTCCAGTTTTCTAACAACTAACTCACAAAGTATTCCTGAGATCGGACTTCCCATTGAAACTCCCCTTTTCTGTCTATGTGTTTGGCCATCATAGCTGAAGATAGACTCGTAGCATATCAGTTTAGCCAGTTCCACTACTTTGCTGTTGTAATGTAACAATTCAGGGACCTTGTTGAACAAGAATTCGAGTAGTGCTTCTCATCATCTCATCATTCTCTCTCTTGTTTATATGGAGATTGCAGCCTGTAATCGCTTTTTCTCCGAATTACAGCGCCATCTTATTAGGTGAAGCGACCCGATCGATGAATATACTGTTCTAGAAGACGTATATGATACTTCGAGGACATGTCAGCCTGAGGCCAATACAGAGGAGTCAAAGTACGCACAGTCTGTAAGTTCAGTCTTAAGTGTTTCAGTAGGTCCGTACGACTTGTAGTATACTCGGGACACCTGAGCCAGAAGTGATCAGTAGTTTCTGCCTCCCCACAGAACAAACAGTTTGGGGACGAGACGATACCACGCGAATAAAGAAAGTAGTTGAGTGGGGCCGTACCAGTCCGTAGTTTCGCCAGCAGTGTTTCCTCCCGCCGCGATGAAGCGTGGTGATAAGACCACGGGTCAAAAGGATGGAGATACTCCCTACCCCTGTTCCTATGGACCGAAGCCCAGTGGTCCCGTAACAAATTACGAGTGTCCTGCCATACTAACCGATGAATGTCTTTAGGCAACAGCGGGCCCCTCCAGGAACCTGTTAAACACACTCCCTTCGCTGCCTTATCCGCGTCCTCGTTAAGGGCAATACCAACGTGCCCCGGAGTCCATAACAACTCAATAGGCTGAGGGAAAGACAACACAGCCGCCGCAATATCAATGATGATCGCTTCCGAAGTGTACCCCACGTTAGTCAATACCTCGAGCACCGAACAACTGTCCGTACTTAGAATGGTCGGACAAGGATTTTGGAAACACAGAGCCATCCCCCGCAAAATCCCAGCAGCCTCTGCCCCGAATACCCCACACTGAACATCCAGTTCCCACATCTCACTCTTCCGCCCCTCCAATATGAAGACGCCCATCGACGTCCGATTGGGTGACTTCGACCCATCTGTCCCGATTAAAAACCACCCATCTCGGTATCTGTGCACCCACTCGTCGAACGCCACCCTGTCCTCGCCAGGTAGACGAATACTCCCAGTCCTGAACACATCAATGTTTATCCGCGAGCCCATCTGCTCGACAGTCGGCGGCAGATTCTGTTGTCGATATATGTTCGTAATCGCTATCCCTAGGTTCCGTAAATGAGAGACCGCCCTGATCACGTATGGTTCCTGGTATCTCCGCCATCTATAGTGATCCAGACCATGCCGTTTCGAATAAATACGATAGAGCGAGCTAAATCGGCCCCTCGATATGTGCGTCACTGTATGTTTGATCGTCCTTAAGTAAAGCCTTGCTTTTAACCCGATGTAGCCCGCTTCCGTATACAACGCTGGCAGCGAAGTAGTGAGTGGTACCCCAAGAGCCGCCCGAAGGGCCATGTGGATAGGCTTTTCGATCCGGTTGATGACAGTCGGTGGCGCTCCGTCCAGGAGAGGCGCCCCGTATTCCGCCATCGGGAGGAGAACCGTTTTGATCAACTGAAGAAGATCTCTCTGACACGCCCCATTCCGCCGAGAAGCAAAATAAAGGAGACACGATCCCGCCCTTGTTAACTTGTTACAAAGGTAACTTTCGTGCGCCCTCCATGTGAACGTCTCATTAAGAAATACCCCCAGCATACGCATCGACGTGACCTGTGGAATTATTCCTGACCCGAGCCTTAGGGGAACAGTCGGCCTGTGCCGCTTTGATGAAAAATCAATGACCCCGCTCTTCGGCGCGGAGAATACCATGCTCCACTGGGCCGACCAGTGCTCAATATGATCCAGAGCCCTCTGGATCCGGAACCTTGCCATGTCCGCCTGAGTGCTCGATGCTATTATGTAAAGATCGTCGGCATACAAAACGCTCACCACGTCCTTTGGAATCACCCGCCAGATGTCTGCCATGTACAGGGAGAAAAGAAGCGGAGCCAACACGCTCCCCTGCGGAACACCGTAATTGAACTTATGGGGTCCCGAGAGCACACCCCTCCACTTGACCCGAAACTCCCTATTCACTATAAAGTCACGCAACCACCGAAGCGTTTTCCCCGAGAACCCGTATTGTACTAACTTGGCAATTAAACCGTCCTGATGGACCGTGTCGTACGCACCCTCCAGGTCGAGAGATACCAAATACACCCACTTCTTTTGAGCACGAGCCACCGAGATAGTGTGGTGGATAAGTATTACCGCATCTTCCGCCCCTCGATAAGGGATAAAACCAAAGTGATTTTCGTGAAACATGTTGGATGCCAACAAGGTCCTCTGTAACCGCTGTAAAAGCATACGTTCAAATATTTTTGCCACATTTGATGTGAGCGAGATCGGCCTGTATGCCGCGCACGAAGTCGCCTGTCTCCCTGGTTTTAGGATCGGAAGGATGCATGCCAACCGCCACTCCACCGGAAGTTGGCCAGTGTGCCATATCTTGTTCATTAGCTCCAGAAGGGCCTCCCGCCCCACCCTGGGGAGCGCCCGCAATAGATGGACCGTGACCCCATCCGGGCCAGGGGTAGTATTCCGTAGCCTCCCAAGGACCCTTGCCAGTTCCGTCTCTTGGAAATCCCCTTCCTCGATGAGCACACCCGGCCCAGTGGGGGCCGGGAGTGGGCCAAACGTTCCTGTTGGCCTTGGTCTCCCAAAATAATTTGCCAATGCTTCCGCCTGTAATTCCGGCGACGTTATCGTGACGTGCTCAATCAGTACATGATGGGAAATCGTCGGGCTCTGTGGCATCCGCAACTTCTTGAAAATCCTGTAAATCGTCGATTTCGTTGGAGGGGATTCACACATCCGGCCCCACCACTCCCGGCAAGCCTGCCTAGATTTCCAACGTAATAATGCACCCAGTTGTTTATACCTGTACCACCAACCTAACGACCCCCACTGTCTAGCCCTTCTAAAGGCCCGTCGCTTCTTCACCCGAATCAGACTGCATTCCTCCATCCACCACGGGGGGCCCCTGGGGGGAATCCTTTGATACCTGGTGAACTCTTTACACACCACCTGAAGTGTGCCGAAGAAGGCAGAATATTCCCTCGGATGGGAAGCCTCCTTTTCCCATGATACAGCGATGCAGTCCCGAACCCGACCCCAGTCCGTATTTTGACGGACCCTTGGCTGCAAACCCTCCACTCCCCTTGTCAAAAGAGACACCTTCAACTGGATCGGAGCATGATTGCTAGTCACAGTGTCCATACTTGGCCTCCATGTTGCTAACCCCAACAAATCAGGGGTACACAGCGTTAAATCGATCGCCGAGGACCCCGACCTGTGGAAAAAGGTGGGTTCCCCTGTATTCCAACAACACCACCCGTTTGACAATATCCAATCAAACAGAACCCTGCCCGCTGCATCCGGGCGAGTATAACCGTTGTCCCAATAGGGATGGTGAGCGTTCCAATCGCCCGCGATAATACGGGATTCAGAAGGAGCCAACCGCCAGCCCGCAAGTTGCCCGCCATCCTGAATCCCTGTCAGGGTGTAAACATTGACCAATGACAAAGAGAATTCCCTGAGAAGAACTCTCACCTCCAAAGTTTCCAACCCTCGTGCACCAAGGCCCGGCGATTGGAGCACGACCGGCCATTTGTCAGCCACCGCCGTCAACAGCCTGCCCCCGGTTCGGTAGACCGATCAGAACGAAAAATAGTGAACCCCGGTAAGGTAAAAGACTGTTCTCCCGTTAACCACATTTCCTGGATCATGAGCACATCCACAGTGTGAAACCACTGCTCCATCAGAAGAAGGTCTTTCTTAGCCTGTAATCCGTGCGCATTCCAGTGAACAATCGTAAACTCCCGCCTCCCCTGCCGATTGTCAGACATTCAGTATAGAGGTAAGAGATGGGCGCCGACGGAGTTTTGCCAACTCCGCTGGTGATGCTACGCAGTAATCGTCTGTAATTTCTGTTCTGCCCGTCCTGTCGCCGATTTCCATGTCGGATACAAGACCCTCTGATTCCGATGTGCCCGGGGGAAGAGCATCAATCTTTTTTCCCCCGCGTTTCTTCTTAGGTGTTCTCCCNTGTAGCCGCTGTAAAAGCATACGTTCAAATATTTTTGCCACATTTGATGTGAGCGAGATCGGCCTGTATGCCGCGCACGAAGTCGCCTGTCTCCCCGGTTTTAGGATCCGAAGGATGCATGCCAACCGCCACTCCGCCGAAAGTTGGCCAGTGTGCCATATCATGTTCATTAGCTCCAGAAGGGCCTCCCGCCCCACCCTGGGGAGCGGCCGCAATAGATGGACCGTGACCCCATCCGGGCCAGGGGTAGTATTCCGTAGCCTCCCAAGGACCCTTGCCAGTTCCGTCTCTTGGAAATCCCCTTACTCGACGAGCACACCCTGCCCAGTAGGGGCCGGGAGTGGGCCAAACGTTCCTGTTGGCCTTGGTCTCCCAAAATAATTTGCCAATGCTTCCGCCTGTAATTCCGGCGACGTTATCGTGACGTGCTCAATCAGTACATGATGGGAAATCGTCGGGCTCTGTGGCGTCCGCAACTTCTTGAAAATCCTGTAAATCGTCGATTTCGTTGGAGGGGATTCATAAAAATATAAAAATATAAAAAATATAAAAATAAAAATATTCCGGACCGCGAAAAACGCCCTCTACAGTCGTCACCGTACCAACTTCCGGAAGCGCCGCCATCTTGGACTACCTAGGTACACATTAACCTGTAAAATTATTAACGTAATAAGTAAGCATTTTTTGAAATTCGTTCTTTAGTTAATTTACTTAATTTCGAAATATTGTTGACAAGTGATATTGTATTAATTTCGGAAAATTGTATTAAATTAATTTTAACAAAGGATTGCATTTTTTAGAAAAAAGGAAATTTCCGGATGGCGTCCTCTTACCCATAAGTACCGAAAAACTATTGAATAAAAATTATTAAAAGGTACTTTAACTATTGCTCGGATTCGGACAAATACGAATCTGATTAATCTGTTAATTTATTACATCGAGTGCGTATAATAATAGTGTTGGAAAAAAAAGAAAATAAAAATTTAAACAATTGAAAAATTAACTGCATAACCATTATAGTAAAAAATTCACGGTCATTTTTCATTCGTTTTCTTTTTCTTTTTGCCGTTTTTCTTTGTAGTTGTTATGATTTTCGGTTCGTTTTCTGTTTGTTTTCGTTGTCGTCTACCTTGTCACTGTCGTCAATTCTGACAAACTATGCTACTGAATATTTTATTCAGTTTATTTTATTTCAAATATCAAACAAATATATTTTATACTCCAGTGAAAAATAAAATTGTGCTTTAAAACAAAATCGTTTTCTGTTATTGAAACAATATTAGACGTACAGTACTTCTTGTACAATTTTATCACGGCATTAATTAATTAATAATCAGTAGTAATCGATTCGTTCGAATTGAGAATAATTGATTATTCCATTATTGAAAGCATTCAAAATATCTGGAATAATTATAGATTTATTCGAGATTCTAAAATCGTGATTCTCTCGCCTCTAAAAATCTATAAACTAGAAAAACCTTAAAAGAATGAAAAAATCGCTTGTTACAAAATGTTTTTTTAACTTTCAATCGGAATTACAGATCAGAAAATTATTTTCTTCCAAAAAGTGACGATTTGACCCTGTTAGGAAACATTACTACTAGTGTTAGTGTTTAGTGTGTAACACTGCATACACTGTTAGGAAACCGTTTTCTTACTATGTGCTGTAAAACTACCGAGCAATTCAAGGAGTTATTTAGATGATACGTCTTGATTTGTTTCTTACTGCTGGACAATTGGAAACAATTTCAGTTTTTATCTACAACTATTTTAAATAAAAACACTTCAATTGTTTAATAATTTTGTGAATTAAAGTGATGTATTTACTTGCAAATAAAAGTATGTCATTAATTTAAGTATTAAATTACAAATAATGTAATTGTGAAAATAGTTTCCGGAGATTTACTTGTTTATGCTGGTGTAGCTTTAAAACGATTATATCATTTTGGGGTTAAGTAATTTTACAGATTTCAATAATTCTTAAAATCATTCAAACGAACCTATCACTAATAATCAGTTCTTCATTTAGTATTTAAAAATATCTGATTTCTGATCTCAACTGAGTTTCGTATTCTTTATGGCATCATATAACTGTGTACGGTGAGCAAAAAAAAAAAAAAATGTTAGTATGGCGGAGAAGTTTCATTTTTCTAATTCATTTTTACTTTCTCGGCTCTGTATTCAATTACGGCAACGCGACACATGGGCGATCTGTCGAAGGAGGAATGCCTCCCGGGAAGTCTTTTATGGAAAACTGGCCCCTATTTAGGTGTAACTAACGTGAAGAAACCCAAAAATCTCTACGTGACCAACTCGTTGGCGATACATGAATCCACAATCAATTATCAGTATTCAGTAGTTTTATCCACTCGGCAGCTTGTGGGCTTTCGACTCGAAAGCGTGAAACGTCGAGAAATGCAAAAGAATTTGGGTATTTTTTCTTTATGTATGGATGTTAGTATATGTGTGTTTGCCTGTGTCAGTGTGTGGGCAGCATGATTTTGTTCATTCTCTTTACAGCTTAATGACTTCTGTGTTTTTTGTCGAAAATTTTTGAAATTTTGCAAGAAGAGTTTAATTGCTCTCCCCTT